CTTCATCATCCGAGGATAACCCTCTCTGCATTCTCTGATAATCCCTTTGTCTAATAGTTCCTGATCGCAACCGGGTTAGACGGTGCGATACGAGAGGGTCAGAACTAGAAGGTCGAATCGACTTTCCCTTATCAGCCATGTTAATTGTGACTTTTGGAAGTTCGTTATCATGAACAGTCGATCGCTTCTTACGGAGACGCTTTGGTTTGGAGTTAGTCATTTCGTTGGAGATCCTCTCGGATACGGAGACCCTCTGCGGAGCGGTCTTGGGACAACTGCACGCTGATAATACTTCCCTGATTAGTCCGGTGCACGGGCAGTGAGATTTGGTTTCTCGGGCATATCTCTTCTGAGACTCGTTCATACCCCCCGCCCGATAGTACAACTCATCGATCAGATGACCGGAGCAACCTATCATGTGTTGACATGACTCCCCTGGTATAACGTTATCATCGTCAGATGAATACGTTTCTTTCAGGGGATTTGCCGCTTTATTAGCATTCTTAAGAGTCACGTGTTTAGAACTACGCTTTTGGGAGCGCAGGATCTCAACAGGCTCTTGGTTTTGGATAAACACCCCCAGGCGGGTAGAAATTGGAGTTTTCCCTTTATGAGAAGGCTTGAAATTGTTACGAGGGCGTGTGCGACCCCCAGCTCGACGAATCGCTCGGGGTTCAGTCACCGGACCCAAGCATTCTTCGATCAGAACTTTGCCTCGATCCTCGTACAAAGGACCCAGGCGATCAACTATCCTCACCTTGAATCGGGACAAATCCATGTTGTCGTGGGGCTCCACCAGAGGTGCGGAACTCGAAGGGATCGACGAAACAGGTGTAGAACATCTTCTGCCTTGACTCTGGCGCAGGTCAGATTTAGGTGACCGACGGGTTGGAGGGTCGGATTTGGGTGACCCGCAAAGTGGAGGGTCAGATTTGGGTGACCCGCAAAGTGGAGGGTCGGACCCAAGTGACCAGCGATTCGGAGGGTCGGATTTGGGCGACCTGCAGATTGGCGGATCGGATTTTGGTGACCTGCAGATTGGAGGGTCGGACCCAAGTGACCCACGATTTGGAGGGTCAGATTTGGGTGACCTGCAGATTGGCGGGTCGGATTTGGGTGACCTGCAGATTGGCGGGTCGGATTTGGACGACCTGCAGATTGGCGGGTCGGATTGAAGTGACCTGCAGATTAGCGGTCGGATTTGAGTGACCCGCGATTTGGCGTGGTCGGATTTGAGTGACCCCAGACGGGCGGGTTTTCGGATTTGAGTGACGCCGCAGACGGGCGGGTCGGATTTGAGTGACCCGCATTTTTCGATCTTTTCGGCCGCCGTCTTGTACTTTGGCCTCCAAACTTTGTGCAGTTTTGGTGGCTTCTTTTCCACTTCTTCCCTCTGCAATCTTTTGACCTCTTGCGCAAGAATTCGCGCGCGTGCAAGTAGTACGCGACGCTTTTTGATCCTCTCTTCAAGAGTTAAACGGGTCCTTTTGACTTGTATCCATTCACTTGTTGGTGATTTGGAGGAGAGGGCATTTGTCCGCTGTTGGGGCGCTTGACGTTGCCTAATTTTTAGATCCGTCTCGTAACGGATCCTGTCAATTGACTCCAAAGCCCTAGCGAGTTGGCGCGCAAGGCGTTGGCGTTGTCTTTGGCGAGCTCTCTTCGATAAAATGGACGTGCTTTCTGTACTCAACTCCTTGATTGAGGAGGAGTTCAGATCTGCAGATCCGGACTCATTGGAGGCCGGAAGGGCGTTGTAAGGTTCAGCTACCGCAACAACGGGGGCGTTGATCTTCCTTCGCTTGCGAGAGGCGGAGGATCTGGAGGAGGAGGACGACAGATATTCCTCGAACTTCAGTTGGTCGAACTCGTACTCGACCACTTCTTCAACCGGGATGCAGATCCGAGGTTGCGACACGACAGCTCCGGCAGCGAAGCTGTTGGCTCCCACTGTGGTCGCCAGTTTGTTTGCGTCGAAAGTTAATGTATTCATTGCGGTATTCATTACAACTTTAGTCGTTACAACAAAATCAAAAAGATTGTCTTTTTATAAGACTTTTACACAATGAAAACAAAAGTTTACAACTCTCGTCAAAACAAACGCAGAGATCGTTTATCGGTCTTCTGCTTGCGTGGGATCTTTGCCTGTGCCGGGGTTTATCCGTGGACCGCCTTAGATCTGGATCCGGTTGATGGAAAATTTGGCAGAGCTTCGCCTTCGCCGAGGAAGTATTTGATTTGAAGCGCTGAAATCGACCAAGCGAAATCAGGGCTCTTCTCGAGATTAAGACCAAGCCTAATCTCAAGGGACGGACGGGAACGGGCGTCGGATCTCTCGAACTCTCCTTCTTTATGCCGAAGAACTCGCCAAGATCTGTCAACCCTCGCTGAAATTCGTGCTCCTTTGACTCCACAATCCGGCAGCACCTCCTCGTCTTGATAATCAATCGCCCCTGAAAAATGGAGGCCTTTGACTCATATTTATAGGCCTCGAATGCGGTTATTTGGATGAGAACAAGTGATTTGGCTCTATCTTCAGTTGACAACAGCCTAACCACGTTTGGGGATGATCTCAAGCCAGTTAAGAACCTCTGGAACTGAAAAGATCTCGAGAAAACCGTTAAAACCGTCGAAATACACATCAGGGGGTCAAAACAGCGCGGCAGACTGGTCTGACCCGCGCTTGCGCGGGTCGGATCAGTCCGACCCGCGCTTGCGCGGGTCGGACCAATCCGACCCGCACTTGCGCGGGTCGGATCAGTCCGACCCGCGGTTGCGCGGGTCGGACCAATCCGACCCGCGGTTGCGCGGGTCGGACCAATCCGACCCGCGGTTGCGCGGGTCGGACCAATCCGACCCGCGGTTGCGCGGGTCGGACCAATCCGACCCGCGGTTGCGCGGGTCGGACCAATCCGACCCGCGCTTGCGCGGGTCGATCCGTCCCGCGCTCGCGCGGGTCGGTTTGTTCCGTCCCGCGCTCGCGCAGGTCAGTTGATTTTTTTCTTCTTTTTCGTTCTCTTTCTTTGAGACTTGTCCTTTCGCGTGTTTGGTTCGCTTCGTTGATTTATATGCTTTGAGTTGATTGACGCGTGTGTGTTGATTGACGCATGCGAGCTGATTGGCGCGCGCGAGCTGACTGTCAAGCGCGCAGGTCACTTGATTCGCCGTTTTGCTTCAGGCGCTTGTCGGCGTCAGATAATCCTCTTAGACTCGGATAACAATGTTCGTCGTCTTCTCTCTGTCTCGAGCTGTGTGTGGATACCTATAGGCATTTTTAGACGCCTACAAATGTAGTAAACAACTGCAGCAAGAGTCATTCCAAATGTAGTAATCAACTGATCCAAAAAAAGAGTCATTCTCTCTGTCTTTCCAAATGTAGTAAACAACTGCAGCAAGAGTCATTCTCTTCACTTTCAGTTTAGAACCCTTCACCTTTAGGCTATTGCAATACCAATCAAGAAGTAATCTCCAATCACATGTCCTCCAACTAAACTTGAGCCATTCCATAACCCCATTCCAAACAATCATAGAAAAACTACAGTCAAAATATAAGTGTTTGTGACTTTCCGATCCCCCTTCACACAGAGAGCAATGATTAGATTGAATTACCCCTCTTTTAAGCAGTCTATCCTTTGTGAGAAGCCTATTTTGAGTAGCTAATCACAAGATAAAAGAATGTTTAGGTAGGTTTGAACTCTCCCAAACTGTATTAGCCCAAGGTACATATACGTTAACATTAATAGGAGAAAGGATCTTGTATAGCTCAGATAGCTGAATCTTGGATTGATTATAACAAGACCTGATGCTCTGAATTAGCATATCAGTCCCTCCCACAAGATTCACAGCTTTATCCCTTGCCTTCAGCAACTGTTTCCATAACCAAGAGTCACCAGATTTCACCCTCACTTGCCAAATGTTAGATTCTTTTAAATAGGTGCCATGAACCCATTTAATCCACAGACACTCTTTATTTGAATGCACATACCATAATGTTCTAACTGCAGTGGCTAGATTCCAAGTAGTGGCAGAATAAATACCCAGACCCCCTTGATTCTTCCCTGTGCATACTTTATCCCAAGATACAAGTGGAGCCTTGAGACTATGTTCAGATCTTCCCCACAAGAAATATCTGCAAAGATCATCAATTTTCTGAAGGACTTTAGAGGGCAGAATATAACATGAAGTCCAGAATATTTGAACACCAAGAATGATGCTTTTAATAATCTGCATTCTGCCTACATAGGACAGAGTTCTATGCTTCTTCCAATCTTGAAATTGATTTGAAATTTTTTGGAACAGGGGACTGCAGTCAACAAAAGATAATCTCTTTGATATCAGGGGTAGATCAAGATATTTGAATGGAAGAACTCCCTCAGGAAATCCAATGTGATTATAAATTTCATTCTTGATAGTATCATCAACTCCACCATAAAATATAGAACACTTTGTGAGATTTGCTTCAAGTCCAGAAATAGCACCAAATTTTTTGACACACTGGTAGATTTTCAGAACAGATTTTACATCCCCCTTACTGAACAAAAGCAGATCATCAGCAAATATAAGGTGGGAAATCTTGAGACTACCACACTTAGGAAGAAATTTATACTCTCTATCATTATTCAGTAAGCTCAGTTCCCTTGATAGATACTCCATGCCTATGATAAACAAGTAGGGGGAGAGAGGATCTCCCTGCCTCAAACCCCTTGCCCCTTTGAAATAGCCATGATAGGAACCATTTAGAGAAATGGAATATTTTGGGGTTGAAATACAAGTCCAACAAAAACTTTAGGGAAACCCAAACCTTTGAGCATTTTATCCAGAAAACCCCAGTTAATTGTGTCAAAGGCCTTTCTAATATCAATATTAAGCATAGCTCTAGGAGATAAGTGCTTCCTACCATAGTTTTTTACTAGTTCATGAGCAAGCAAGATGTTATTTTGGATTTGTCTACCCTTAACAAAAGCACACCGAGATTCACTGATGACAATCCCCATGACAGATTATATTCTGTTTGCTAGAATCTTTGAAATGAACTTGTAAATGCAGTTGCAGCAAGAGATTGGTCGAAAATAAGCAGGATTTGTAGGACATTTCACCTTAGGAATGAGAGTGATTGCTGTTGAATTGACAGTCCCCAATAATTTTCCTGATTTGAAGAAACCTTCAATAGCTTGAGTGATTTCATCTCCCACAATAGACCAAGCAGATTTGTAGAAGGCTGCATTATACCCATCAGGACCTGGTGCCTTGTCATCAGGCATGGAAAAGATAGCACTCCTAATTTCTTCTTTTGTAACTGGCTTTGATAGTTCTCTAGCTTGAAGATCATTAAGACAGGGGCCTTTATGAATTATGTCAATGTCAGGATCAATAGTAGTGACTGAGGCTCCAAACAAGGATTTATAGTAAGAAACAAGCTCCATAGCAATTTCATCTCCCTCAGTAATTCTATCTCCATTATTGTTATACAGGATCATAATTCTATTTTGGTGTCTGTTACTTTTGATAACAGAATGAAAAAACCTTGTGCATCTGTCCCCTTTAAGATTCCATTTGATTCTAGCTTTTTGTTGATAGAATGATAACTCACACTCCAAAAGTTTGTTGAAAGTAGTAATAAAACCTTTTTCTTGATTTATGAGAGAAGCATTAAAAGGGTCAGATAATAAAGCCTTTTGAGCATTTAATAAAACCTTTTTCTTGATTTATGAGAGAAGCATTAAAAGGGTCAGATAATAAAGCCTTTTGAGCATTTTCCAGATCCACCTTTGCTCTAAGAACCTGAAGCATTAAAAGGGTCAGATAATAAAGCCTTTTGAGCATTTTCCAGATCCACCTTTGCTCTAAGAACCTGCTCACTGATATTACAAAAATGTCTTTTGTTGAGATCCTTCAGAGCTGTTTTCAGGAGCTTTAACTTTGAACAGACAGAAAACATGGTGTGGCCAACAATAGAAGTATTCCATATGGATGAGACTGTAGGTAAATAGTTAGCATGCTTGATCCACATCTTAAAGAATTTGAAGGGCTTCTTACCTTGCACTTGATCCTCAAAGATAGAAATAAAAGCAGGAGAGTGATCAGAAAAACTAGGAAGAAGAAATTCTACCTAGCTTGAATTATAAGCATTAATCCAGAGATCATTCACTAATGCTCTATCCAATCTACTCCAAACTCTAGTAGTAGTGTAACAACCGTGAATTTTGATACGTATTTAAATAAATTTTTCTAGTATTTAAAATAATATATTATATTTTATTAATACTTTTCCTAATTTCTGGAATTTTCCGAGTTTTCAAAATAAATAAATGAATAAATAAATAAATATAATATATAGTCTTGTATTTATTAGTTTTGTGAAATATTAATTTATAGTTATAATGAATATTTTAAATAATTATTTTAACTATTGATACTATTAATAATTTTTATGTAAATTTGAGCTTAGTACATTAGTACATATACAAATATATGAATATTTAGTTGTTAATTATTTATTAATATTATTATTCTGAATATCTTGCAAATATATTCTCATAATCTCTTTTCCCTAAATTTCTCTCATTTTGAATTCCTTCCTTATTTTTGTTCCTTAATCAAATCCCTCCTCCAAAATCCAAGTCCAATCCCCCAGCAATCACGTTAAAAAACATACCAATTATGTTCTCCGTAATCAAATCTTTCCCCCTCTCTCTCTAATCTTTCTCTTTCAAATATTATAATATCCCCATCATCTCTCTCTTCCCATAAAAATATATCATCGTACAGCACCTCCTCTCCCAATCTCTTCTCACCGTACTCTTTCTTTTCTCTTCTCTCTCCCCTCAAAAGAACCCACATCAGATCATCCTCCTCCTCCTCTCTCGTTCACAAAACCCAACTCCAGTTTCCCCTCCTCTTCTCCCCGCTCCTATAAACGACGACGACCCCGACGCCGACGAGATCGCGCACTGACCACCAACGTCCCCCTCCTTCCAGATCCTCCGCCCACCGCCGTCGCCCAGCCCCACCGCCGACGCCGTCCAGACCCCCTCTCACCCCTCGCCCCCCACCTCATCTCCGCCAGCCTTAGAACCGCTCTGTCCCGACGACCGCAACCACCACGCCACCTCAAACCCCGCCGTTCGCCGTCCTCAGCGACGCCTCGACGACCAGATCCTCGTCGCTCGCCTCCATCAGCCGACGCTGCCGACCGCTGCTCCTCTGCTCCTCCTTTGCCGCCGCTCACTCCCCTCAAACCCGCAGCTCTCCACACACTCCAGCTCACCGACCACCACGCTAGCCTCCTCGCCGCCTCCCTGCGATCCACCACCACGACCAACAACCGCCGCTACTCACACCAGGTCGCGCCTGAACCTCGACGTGTCGCCTCTTCCGCTGCTTCCGACAACTCCGAGCTGTCCTCCACCTTCACGAGCTCCCCTAACCGCGTTGCCCCCTCGAGACCCGAAGTCACCAAGCCGCTGTCACCCGAACTCCGCTCTTCGCCGCAGTCGATACGTTCGACAAACCCCGAGGCAAGATCCCGCTTCGATCGATTTATCATTTTATTATTTATATCTGTATTTATTAATTGCATAGATTAGACTGTTATTATCTGTGTGGTTTGGTTGATGAGTAATATTAGTAGTAATAATGAGATAATTACTGAGTGGTTGTATTCGTAAAGAGGGGGTATGATATGTATTCTGAGCCGTATGTGATGAAATGATATTTTGACGATTATATTATAATTAATTATGAGATATTTGAAAGAAAGAATTTTTTTGTAAAGACTATTTTGAAATATTATAGTAATAAATAAATTAAAGAGTTTATTTCGGCAATGGATTCATTTTGGGAAATTATAATGTTTTAAAAGAATTTAATTCGGCAGCGAAATCTTTTAGATAATCGTATTAATTTAAAAGAATTTAATTTGAAAAAGAAATTATTTTAGATTAATTATAATGAGAAAAGAAATTATTTTGAAAGAGAGAATATTAAAAATAATAATTAAAAAATATTTTTAGAATTATTTAAAAGGAGTTTATGTTGGAAAATGAATTTATGAATTATCTATTCTTATATTTGTCGTACGTGTGGAATTCCATTTTATTGGGCATTTATTAGAATTTTAGATCTGTTATGAATTTCATGCCTAGATTAAACTGTGATATGCTATTATATGCGTGGGATTTGTGGATGAATGATTGTATGGAACTCGTTTTATCACCTAGTTGTTATCTAATAGGAGAGACTTTACATGAAGACGACTCCTGTTAAAAGTATGATTTATAAGCGTGCTTTCAAGGCATGGCTGTACCCTTGATATCGATATCCCGGTATGAGGTTTCCTTGATTATTATTATTATTATTATAGCATTGACTAGACGATGCACTCTTGATCAGACGTGTTATGGATCACGATTATTTTCATAGTTTTTGCAGAAGTCGTTCCACGGTTACTCTGTGGTTAGTGCACAATATTTCATGTACAGTTACTTAATTAATATGACAAACATGGGGATATAAAGGGGAATTGGACGAAGAATATAACATTTATATAAACGGGCATATGCGCTTTCTTGATATTGTGAGTTATATATATACTTGGGCCGGAGAGCCAAACTTGACTTGAGGATGGCCCCCGGACGACTTTACGGGGACCCGATTATATATATGAAAATATTCTTTCCCAATTCAAATAACATGTAAAACAAGAATAATATGCTTGCGTGTTTTATGGTGGACTTGGTTGGTTTTATGAGATGTAGACTAGTTGTATTCTGATCACACCTAGATCGGGATTAATAGTTAATTATCTATAATTTGAGACATAAGGTATATATATGAGGGTTTCCTTGTTTGGATTATTTCGCTCGACGTACTACGTCTCAAGTTATAGGTAATTAAGTATTAATTCCATCTAGATGTGTGATTTGGATATTTGGATGATTACCATGTTGGCTAGCTGCGTGATCTTGACACTTGGATGGTTTTCTTAGATTCTTCTGATGATTTTATTTCAGTGATAGATTGCATTTAGATTATTAGTAATTTCATTTGCAAGCTATTATTATTATCACTGTTTTGCTTTGGTCGTTCGATCGTTCCTATTTCTGTGGGATCTTGCCGTGTGTTTCACACGCTGACGTACTCCTATTTTCTGGGTGTACGTCAGATTTAGGAGACGGACAACCTCAGTACGGAATCGTACAAGAACCAGAAGATTCTCAGTAGGAGTGCCTTGCAGGTGGAGTAGAAGAACAATCTGAAGCGCAATAGTTTTCTCTATAGTAGTTGATGAACATTAAAACATTTTTACCGTACTTTTCTCTAGTTGATGACGGATTTATTATTTAACAGTACTTTCTTTATGGACTATGTATTTTATTCCTAGTTGAACCGTTTTGTAATAAGGGCGTGTTTGACCCATATTTTTATGTCTGGGATGATTTACTGTTGATGATATGTCTATTCATTATTCTGATTTGTCTTTATATTCTTGCTATGTGTGATTGGGGACCTGTGACTTCGTGTTATATTTATTTCCAGACGCTTAGCGTATTAGATTGGGTAGAAAGAGTTTTATTATTTATTTCTACTCAACCTAATACGTCGTGGGCTTGTTCGCGTCCCGATTCCCGGGTATTTTGGGAAGCGGGGCGTGACAAGTAGCATCTTGCTTATTGTTCCAAGTAAAAAAACATCCAATAGTTTTTAGATGGGCTAGCTGGTTACTATCAATGAAATGATTAAAATCCCTGGTATCAGTTTCAGATAGAGTTGTGCCACCCAATTTTTCATCTTCACTAATCATAGCATTGAAGTCACCACAGAGCAGCCAAGGTAAAGTCCCAAAAGCATGCTGTATCTGGGATAAATCTGTCCATAATGACTTTCTCCCATCAGAATGATTGAAGCCATAAACAGAGGAAATAACACAAGTTAACCCTCCATCCAAAGAATTAACTGCACAGGTAACATGTTGAGCTGAAGAGCCAATGATATGCACATCTAAGATATTTGGATCCCACAGAATCATAATCCTGGCTTTATCTGAGTTATTAGCATTTGAGACACACTTCCAGTTTATAGCAATTTTATTAGCTATTGCCTGAACTTTAACCAGCTTTAGTTTAGTTTCCATAAGAGCTAAGAAAGAAAGATGATATTGCATAAGGTGTTTCTTAACCAAATGCTGTTTAGGGAATTTATTTAATCCCCTAACATTCCAAAAAGATAGGTTCTTAAATTTTCACCCCCTCTATCAATTGTTGAGGGGTCCAATGCAGAAATCAAGTTAGTGAGAGGAGAGAAGGGGTTAACTCCTTTACTTTTATTTCTGTGCACTTGAGGCCAAGAACTACCAGGGAGTACAGCATCTTTTCCTTTGTTAAAATTCAAAACAGGCTGAACATGCACAACACTATTTGTATCAGCTGCAGAGACCACTTCATTTGTATTTTTTGATAGTACTTCAGCTCCAGAATTCACAGAAGAGGTAACAACTTTAGTAAGAAGCTGATTCACAACAACAGGATTTGCACCTTTATCCATGACTTCAGGTATCAGATCAGCTGCCTGTTTGGAAGAAGTATCAGATTGAGACACAGTTTCCTTTTGCTTTGGGAGGTTTAGAAGCATATACGCTTTAAGTATACAGTACATTATATTATTAATTTATATATCTATGCCAACAAAGAAGTAAAACCCCGTAAATTTAAAACTTTTCATGATAAATAATGATAAATATGTATTATGCTAAAAAAATAACATATTTTGATGTTTGAGTATGATAAGAATTGTTTTGAAATCAATTCAATGTATATTTGTGAATATATGAGTGCAAATGCACAAAACATGCACGAAGAGAAATTTGGGAAAAATAAGCAGTTAAGAGTTTCTATGTTTTACACAATGATGCAGTTAGAATCTAGGGAAAAAACTCAAAAGACCAAAGTTGTAGGTCTCTTCAACAGCTTTCTAACAAATCTTAAATTATATTATTCTGAGGTCGGATGAGAAAGTTATAGCTAAAATACCGAATGTGATTTTTCCAGTCAGGCTAGGTTTCCTGGTTCGGGTAAAAAGGGCTTGTTTCGGGTTTGCCTTTATAAATACCTATGTTTTTCACAAAAATTCCTTTTTTTATCATATCTCTGAGCCCTAGTAGCTACCCTCTTCCCTCAAAAACCCTAGATCTTTTTCTTATGAATTTTGAGAGCTTTGTGAAGCACAATACCGATACGAGGGCGAGATCATGGACGTGCGGCAAGGAAGAACATGTTGTTTGCAGTTTTGGACTGCTTGCTATTTGTTTTAGAGGTTTGCACATGTTTTTAAGGCAAGACCCCTTTCTCTTTGACTTGTCGTTTTAATTTTTAGACCTATTATGAATTTTCTTGGACTATACCGTGATTTGATTATGCTATGGTATGAAGATCGTGATAACTGTGTGGGCTTGTTAATGAATAATATTTAAATGTGATTTGATTATGCTATGGTATGAAGATCGTGATAACTGTGTGGGCTTGTTAATGAATAATATTTAAATAATGATAATATGATAAATAGTTTAAAGATCGTGATAACTGTGTGGGCTTGTTAATGAATAATATTTAAATAATGATAATATGATAAATAGTTTAAAGAAACATTATTTTGTAAAAAGGGTTATTTTGAGATGATTTTAAAAGAAAGAATATTTTAAAGATTTTTGGAATTATTAATTATGAGAAATAAATTAATAGAAATTATTTTAGAAAAGAGAAAAGTTTAAATAATTATTATAATAAATATCTTAAAGAATTTAATTTGGAAAAAAGGTTAGTTTTGAATAATTATTATGATAGATAATTTAAAATAATTTATTTTGGAAAAGAGGTTATTTTGAATTGTTAATTTATTATTTTAAAAGATTATTTTTAGAATAATTATGGCAAAAGATAATTTTAAAGGAATTTATTTTACAAAAGGATTATTTGAATTAATATCTATTTTAAATATTATTTTAGAATAATTATTATGAATTAAAAGAATTTAATTCGGCAAAAGAATTATTTTTTTGATAATTATAATAATTTAAAGGACTTTAGTTTGAAATAGAGAATATTTTGGATTATCATAATAAGAAATAAACTAAAAGAATTTACTTTGCAAAATGATTATTTTAAATAAATAAATTATTTAGAAAAAGATTTTTTTGAATTATGTAGAAGTTGTTTATGATTTATAATTCTTAATTTTGATTGTCTGATATGCCATGGTATTATTGCACATGATTAGTTACATTGATTGTTCCTTGTTGTGATTGAGAATCGTTAGGAGTTTATAACTATAGTGACATGTGTGACATGAATAAGACCTAGAGGCTTGTGTGTTGTTGACATAGAAATACAAGGGATGTTATGGTAGGAAAGTCTCTATTCATGTAATCAGATAAGATTGTTGATATATCTTTCAGGCTCGCACCAGTGGATCAGTGTTTCCACTGGGGTTGGTTTGTTGGGTCAAAGTAGATCGGTGTCGCTACTTTGGTCTATGAGTTTGATATTCACCTGAGTTTAGCTTGAGTCCAGACTAGGCTGAAAATGGATTGCGTGTAGTCCTCTGACCGAGTTTGTGCAGCAGTATTGGATATACGTAGGGGATTTGTGAACAGTCAGTATCTGATGATATGAGCGTTGACTCTGTGTGAGATGTAGACCAGTGACCTGTTATAGAATGGCTAGTTATATGACCTTGTTACTTAAAATGATTATGGATTCTTATGAGATGTAGTCCAGTTGTATTTCTTTTCATACATAGATCGAAGTTAATATTTAATTATCTATAATTTGAGATATATGGTATATACATGAGAGTTTTCTTGTTTGGATTATTTCACTCGATGTACGACGTCTCTTGTTGTAGATTTTTAAGTATTAATTCCATCTAGTTGTATGACATTAATACTTGGATGATTATTCTGATAGCTAGCTACATGATCTTGTTACCTGGTTAATTTTTGGATTCTTCTGATTATTATATTATTATAGTGTGGGTTACATTTAAATTATTTGAATTTCAATATCATACTTCTATTATTATTTTTACCTATTTTTGCTTTGGTCGTTCGATCGTTTCTTTCTCTCTTGTGGGATCTTGCCGGGTGCCATGCACGCTGATGTACACATGTTTTCTCTGGTGTACGTCATACTTAGAGGAAGAACATGTTCAGCTTGGAGATGTGCCAGAGCCAGAAAATTCTCAGTAGGAATGCCTTGCATATAGAGTTGAAGAATAGCCCGAAGTTCAGTATCGCGTCTTATTTGATGATCCAAGTTGTTTTCGTAGTCTTTTCCCTTCTATTTATGTTGAACAATGTATTTCATATTTCTTCAGTATTCATCTGTTTAGATATGTATAAGGGTGTGTTAACCCGAATATTATATCTTGGATAATATTCACTTGTGATATGGATATTTTGTTCTGAGTTTGTCTATTATATTCTTGCTATCTGTGATCGGGGACCTATGTCTTTGCATTGTATTTATTTCTAGACGTTTAGCGTATTAGGTTGAGGAGAAATGATTATTTTATTTATTCTCCTTAATCTAATACGTCGTGGGCTTGTTCACGTTCCGATTCCCTGGTATTTTGGGAAGCAGGACGTGACAGTTTTTAGTGGTGACCTATGTAGGTCATGGTCACGGTACCGAGTCCTCACTAGTAAGAATATAGTGGACAATTTAGATACATATCTTATTTCATCAGTGAGACTATTCTTGAGCCCTTATCATATTTTCTTGTTAGATTTTGTTTTGTCCCTATCTTATCATATTTTGACTCCGGGACTTTCCATTGTTTCTTGTCTTGTAACTCCCCACTAATTTTTGTTTCTTGTCTCCTCTGCTTATGGATATCATTCTATATCTGTCCTTGGGTTCTTATTTTAATTGTGAGGACGAGATTTATTTTAAGAGGGGAAGAATATAAAACCCCATAAATTTAAAACTTTACATGATAAATAATGATAAATATATTTTATACTAAAAAATAACATATTTTAATGTTTGAGTATGATAAGAATTGATTTGAGATCAATTCAATGTATATTTCTGAATATATGAGTGCAAATGAACAAAACATGCATGAAGAGAAATCTAGGAAAAATGACCAGTTAATATTTTCTATATTTTGCACAATGATGTAGTTAGAATCTAGAAAAACTCAAAAGTCCAAATTTATAGATCTCTTTAACATCTTTCCAACAAATCTTACATCATCCTATTCTGAGTTCGAATGAGAAAGTTATAGCCAAAATACCGAAGGTGATTTTTTCAGTCAGACTAGGTTTCCTAGTTCGGATAAAACGGGTTTGTTTCTGGTTTGCCTTTATAAATACCTATGTTTTTCACGAAAATTCCTCTTTTTTTATCATATCTCTGAACCCTAGCATCTACCCTCTCCTCTCAAAAACCCTAGATCTTTTTCTTATGAATTTTAAGAGCTTTGTGATGCATAATACCGACACGAGAGCGTGATCATCAACGTGTGGTAAGGGAGAACGTGTTGCTTGCTATTTGTTTCAGAGGCTTGCACATGATTTTAAGGCAAGATCCCTTTCTCTTTGACTTGTCGTTTTAATTTTTAGACCTATTATGAATTTTCTTGGACTATATTGTGATTTGATTATACTATGGTATGAATATTGTGATAACTGTGTGGGCTTGTTAATGAATAATATTTAAATAATGATAATATGATAAATAGTTTAAAGGGAAATTATTTTGTAAAAAGGGTTGTTTTGAGATTTTTTTAAAAGAAAGAATATTTTAAAGATTTTTGGAGTTATTAATTATGAGAAATAAATTAAGAGAAATTATTTTGGAAAAGGGAAAAGTTTTAAATAATTATTATAATAAATATCTTAAAAGAATTTAATTTGGAAAAAGGGTTAGTTTTGAATAATTATTATAATAGATAATTTAAAATAATTTATTTTGGAAAAGAGGTTATTTTGAATTGTTAATTTATTATTTTAAAAGATTATTTTTAGAGTAATTATGGTGAAAGATAATTTTAAAGGAATTTATAATACAAAAGGATTATTTGAATTAATATCTATTTTAAATATTATTTTAGAATAATTATTATGAATTAAAAGAATTTAATTCGGCAAAAGAATCATTTTTTTTATAATTATAATAATTTAAATGAATTTAGTTTGAAAAAGAGAATATTTTGGATTATTATAATGAAAAATAAACTAAAAGAATTTACTTTGCAAAATGATTATTTAAATAAATAAATTATTTAGAAAAAGATTATTTTCTGAATTATGTAGACGTTGTTTATGATTTATAATTCTTAATTTTGATTGTCTGATATACTATGATACTAATGTACGTGATTAATTGCATTGATTGTTCCTTATTGTGATTGAGAATTGTTAGGAGTTTATGACTATAGTGACCTGTGTAACATAAATAAGACCTAGAGGCTTGTGTGTTGTTGACTCAGAAATACAAGAGATGTTGGATGTGGAAAAGTATCTGTTCATGTTATCGGATAAGGCTGTTGATATATCTCCTAGGCTCGCACCAGTGGATCGGTGTTGCCACTGAGGTTGGTTTGTTAGGTCAAAGTAGATTAATGTCGCT